TCGCCCCACCAGTATAGAGTATTAATTGTCTTGTTATTACCATCATGAATATCATTGTGAACTTGCAAATTTTAAATTTAAGTTTCTAAAATTTCTCTAGAAGCAGTATTCTAGAAGGTTTCTGGAAGCAGTATTCTAAGGTCGTCGTTTTCCATCACTTTACTATACGCATGGAAGCTGGTGAAGGCTGCATGAATTTTCCATAAATGAATTAACAGAAATCTGCTGAAATTGCTGTTTTACAACTGAACATCTATAGCCAAACCTGGAAGCGTTTTGTATGAGCTAGGAATTTGATTCGTCTGTCAATATTGGCCAACATCTTGATGCAGATGAAGTTGAAAGTATTAAAATCAAGGAAAACCCTGAACACACAGATATGTCAACATAGTTACCAGGAAGCAGAACTATGATGCACTAATTTTCTGATGCTTTGCAGCTTCCTTGTCATCCGCAATACCAATTGTTGGATTCCTACCCAGTCTTGAGCAGAATCTATGTTATCGCAGAAGCTCTTAGGTGGCTGAACGCTCCTTTTCTGCCCTGAAACCAGTCAAATCGCGAATACGATCCTAAGCAGCTGTGATGGGTGTGTATGCCTACTCTTCTGGATACCTTATTATACAAATTTTCCTTATGAAATACTTACTCACTTATGTGAAAAGTTCAATAGCTGCCTCTAATGTTTCGCCAATATGTTGTTTGAATTTTGGGTTTTGCAGTTCGGCTTGTTAATATTGTACTTGGTTATGGTGCAAGATCGATTAGACTACTGCTGATGACGTATGAGCGTCAGATTTGCTGGTCACTTGATTATGATTGACACATTTGGGTTCGAGAATAATCCCGATACACCGGCTTCGGCGCCGGCAAACGTGAAGCAAAAACAAGAAAAAGTCGAGAAAGCGAGGATAAAAAAAAGGCGAGGAAAAGGGCGAGAAAGCGAGGGTAAAAAAAGGCGAGAAAGGGAGGGTAAAAAAAGGCGAGGAAAAAGGCGAGAGGGAACATTTTTCCTCGCTTTCTCGCCTTTTTCCTCGCTTTCTCGACTTCTCGCCTTTTTAACTCTCGCTCTCTCGCCTTTTCCCTCGCCTTTTTTTACCCTCGCTTTCTCGCCTTTTTCCTAGCCCTTTTCCTCGCCTTTCTCACTCTTTTTCTGGCTTTCTCGCCTTTTTCCTCGCTTTCTCGCCTTTTTTCTCGCCTTTTTTTCTCGCCTTTTCCTCGCTTTCTCGACTTCTCGCCTTAATTAATTAGTTCGACCTAGTTTTGATGTTTGTCTGTTTAGTGGCTCAATACTTTTAGTTGGAACCTTCAGAAAAATTAGGCGGCATATATTTCTCTAAAATAAAGCGTTTAATTTGCTTAAATTCGTACAATAGTTTTCTTATTCAATTAACAAAAACAATACAAACTTGCAAACTTTATGTAATGTGTAGCCTATAGGCCAACGTCATAAGCTTATAGAATAGTTTTGGCGTTTAACGGCTAGATTTCTTAAGTTAAAACTTTCATATATCATTATTCAGAGACACATTTTTCTAGATTTTGGTATGTCTTTTGTCTTTTAACTACAAAAAAGCGGAATGCCGCTGTTGAGAGAATTTCATATCAATCTGAAAACTAAAAATTGAATTTTTATAAAAATATTTGTACACATATATCTTGTTACAAAGAACATATAAAAGAAAACCGAGTTTAATTGGTCCATATATAAGCCATACAGACTCCAAAAAATAGTTTTTTTTAACAATGTGCCCCAGTCCGGTTTTTCAAAAGTTGTTATGTTTGATAGGCTATTTTTATTTGAAGAATAGCGGAGATATTCCAAAACACTTTAAATACTCTTTCCTTTCAAATTACACATTAAGTTACAAGTCCTGCGCCTGTGCTTTCGTAACTTTTTCATTGTACCAAATTACAACCTATACTCCCTAAGATTTATAATTGGTTGAAAACTAAATTCCATATCATGTTTAACATGGCATAAGACATCATTTTGATAGGCATATTCATTATTCCATTATAAATGAATACTTATTTCATTGATAAATCGAATTGAAGGACCATAGTTATTATATTACAAAATAGAAAAGGAGACGCATTTGTTTGTTGCCCATCCCATTTCGTAAACATATATATACAAACGAAACGAAAGTTGGGTCTAATATTAACTGCGTATTCTTAATGCATACAGCCCAAGGTCGAGATAAAGACTATAGAGACTATTGTGATACTTTTTACCGAATTAGCATATCGGTAAGATTTTTAATTTGTCTATGAGTAACACTGTTTAGAAAATATATGAGTTGGTTGTATTAAAGAATTTCATATAAAAACATAACATCACTTGGCATGTAAGAACTGGGTGGAATTTGTATGGCACTTCCGTACCCACTCTACAGGCTACAATTCTTAAAGGACTTTTTTCTATATTGGTGTGCATGCTTGAAATGTAAGAGTAAATCTTGTAGATTTTAGTATTAGTACTTCTTCATGTCGATATGAGATAGTCTTCTCAAAAATTGAAATGGATTTTGATAATAATTTATTTCCACAAATAACAACTAAGACCATGTAAACAAATAAATAACATAAATATAATTAATTTCTTTTGTATTTTACATCAACAAATAATGATAGGGTTTTATTTACATAGTAAAATGGTTTGAAATAAAAGATATAGTATAGCATTCAGTTAATAGAGGATACTTCTGAATTCAAACAATAAATATAATCGTACAACGGACTAAATTTTAGGGGTTTTTCCTGATAGGAGTATAATACATTTCGTGAACATAGAGCTCAGTAAGTCAGTCATGGATCCCAACGAAGATTTTTTGCAAGATTTTGTTACTAGTCAGACGTAGATCAGTGACAACTGAAATTATAAAGGAACTTAAACAACTTAAACAAACAATTAACTAAATATAGCACTATTTCCAAAATCACAACCAACTTCAATAATAAAATATATTTGTAGGTTAAAAATATCTATATATACAGATGCATATTTTACAAAGCCTAGAATGTGTTGATTATTGTTTTTCAACATTATTGTGCTCTGAAGATCTCGAGAAGGTAATAAACTCATTTTCTTGATCACATCATCTACCAAGTCGAAGGCTGTATTTTCAAAGATAAAATTGTTTTCAAATGAAAGATTTAGGACACATAAATGATGATTTTCAAAGATATCAAAGCTGACTTCATATACTTCATGTTTAATATAAGATTCAACGATTTTTGCGGAGTAAAGAAAATTTTGAGGTCGGAAAAAAGATTTTAAAATATAAAATACAGAATTTAACTTTGTAATTATGTTCCGCTAAAACCAAGACAGGAATCATTTGATGTGCACGAATCACCATTAGATTGCTAAGTTCCAAAATATTTATTGTCATCACAATCACTGAGCACTACTGTGGTGTTCTGTTGAAGATCCGGAAACCATAGCTTCTGTGTGTTCTCTTGCTCGACGTCGTAACTCAGCAACACTAGAATTGCGTTGTTCTTGAAATGGGAACACTGGAGATGATGAAGAACAGTTGTTAGATCTATTGGTATTACAACATAGACAAAATGGGAAACAGCCTGAAATGACAGATTAGATTATCTGTAATATGGCCAGCAGAGTTGATGACAAATGATTTACTCTTTCAGATCCTGTTTAATTCTAATTTTTACAGAAATTGTATTATATTATATAGAAGAAAGTCAAATCTATCTGTATAATATATACGTAGAACAAAAAGTTAAACGCCACTAACTTTAATTCAGTATATTCTGGGACGTTGCGTACGTCGTAGAGACCCTACTGTGCAAACTGTAACAGAGTTGGATGCAGTATTGCATTAGGAGTGGCAGCAAATTTCTCAACAGGACATTCAAAGACTGATGAAAAACAGATACTTTGCATTTGGGGCTATAAACACAAAATTACCATCCACTTCCTGTTGTTGATTTTTTCACGAATACTTATTGTTTTCAACATTAGGTCCTAATATATACATCTCTGTTTTCAAGTATGATTGCGAATTGCATTTATTTGCTAAACAATGGTTCAAAATCTAGTGGCGCTTAACCTTTTGTTCTAGGTATATTTTAGACATAGCAAAACTATTAAAAAAACTAATTCACTCTTACCTTTGAAAGCTGGATGAGGCATATGCCTTGAAAATGCCCGCGAACCAAAATATGCATCATAACATTGTGACATGGTTGAACTGAAAATAAAGGAACTATATTTACACAAAACATCCATGAATAATATATAACTTATTGTTAATAATTTCCTTTTTTTTTTACATAATTACGTATTACGAATTAGCATTTACCAAATAAGGAATAAATCGATGTTCCGTTTAAAACATCGAGTATTGCAGGAACACTTACCTGTCAAACATAGATAGAAAAGCAGGTCTGTTAGCTGCCGATGCTGCTAATAATGATTGTGAGAAGGGGAGGTTTCCACCATTGAATTTAGCAAAGAAATTCATATCAGCTCCAGCCATCGCCATTGCTGGAAGAGACCCGATGAATGATTTCATGTGCTGTTGTTGTGAAGATTCTGAAGGAGGTGATAACAATTGACTGTGTGGAGGACTTGATGGCTTGGTCTCTGATAAATCAACGGGTTTAACTTCCGGTGCCTCGTTCTCACTACTACTACTATCGTCATCATCACAGTGTTGATTATTTGAATCCACTTCCGGTTTAATATGGTCTCTTGGAATGTCAGTTGCTCTGTGAAAAGATTCTCCATCTGTCTCATCTGGACTTGACGAATCTGTTAATTGGAGAGGACTCTTTCGATCCCGATCCGATTCGTTGCTAGAATCTGTGGTTACTTCTGATGTTCTAAAATTTTGACAATCGTCTAACTGATCGCCATCCACCATTATTTCATTTTGTTCGTCAGACGCCACAACTTCGCTATCAGAATCTTGACCTTGACCCGATCCATCCTCATCACCTACTGATGTTTGTCCATTTGGTGTTGTAAATCTTTCACTCTTTCGCCATTTTGCTCTTCTATTTTGAAACCATACCTTTAATAAAACAATATTTTGAGCTATTTCTTACTATGGTGGGATCTTAAAGACCATGAAATGAGGTGACGCTAGGATAGTTGTCCATTCAATATGTTTTCAGGAACCAAGATCTACTCAACATGATACAAACTCTGATAAATATTGGCATACAACGTGTAATAGCTTAAAATTGCAAGAAAAATTGAACAATGGAATCTTTGGTCAAAATGATGTGTTCTAATAGATGAAATGTAACACTATAATCAATACATCAAAGCTATCAGTGAAAATATGGAACATGACAGAGATAGACATAACAGTAATGTGTTTTTCAAGAATCTGTTACTTACCTGAACTCTTGCCTCTGTCAAGTTGATTCTCATGGCTAAGTCTTCTCTCATAAACACATCAGGGTAGTGTGTCTGGGCAAACGCCTTCTCTAATTCTTCAAGCTGTAATAATAAGACTACCATTGTGAATAGACAGAATTTAGATAAAATGGGGAATGGCTACCAAGTTACATTCTGAGAGATTTCCAGATTGTTTCGAATTTTGACAATTTACAAGTGCTTGAAGCAAATACTAAATACATGTCTATATGTCAACTCAGCAACTAAAAGGAGAACAGCCAAGTCATTCAACTGGATTCGCGAAAACCACAAACAATAACGTTTTTATTATCATGAATTCATGTCTTTTCTACATCTCGATTTTAATTAAACCACCATTAAATGCTTATATATTAATATTCAGATTGTCATTAATTCGGATAAACATGTCGTTTTATTATACTGTGATATTGTGCATCAAAATAGCCGTAATGTTTAAATCCCCCATTTCTTCTTAAATTTTATGGAAGTTTCCTAAGCGGATAACTTCCCTTACTAGAAGCGAGTTACGAGTGCGGGTAAAAATCTATCCGAAAATTTTTGAAAATTGTAGCATTATGTTTTAATAGAATTTCATCATTCAAACTAACTCTATGTGCAGATTTTTGTCAGTTGAAATTAAACTTTACAAATCTTTTCAGATGAGTTGTTTTAACTCACGTCATAACATTAACCTTGAAATGACATTGTGTAAAGGGTTTTGAGATATGCCTCGGGTAAAACTAAGTCAAATGACATCTTGTAAGCTTTTTATCACGAACACAAATTCGTGACATCCGACTTAAAATATCTTTGCTAAAAGTCAATATTATCGATCAATTAACATGATGGTTTGAATTGTAATTTTTATAATGTCAGAAAGATTATAATTTTCAGTCACTGCGCACCTGCAATTTTTCGGTATTCCAGTTCTGCCTTCGATTCAATTATATTTTCACTCTATTCTTTTCAATTCAATGGGGATATTTCATTTCGTGATCGACATTTGCAATTGTTAGATATTTTACAGTAATGAGCTTACTAAGTCGAGAAGTTTCGAAATAGTTTTAAGCTCTTGAAAAACATTTCCTGGTACCAATTATTATTTTGGTGACCGAAGAAATATTAGCAGGAATATCTGTTGTAAATCTGTCCATCTAAATGTTTAGAATTCAGTCATTTCAGCTTCCGTAAAATTTCATTTCCATCATACACTCGTTGCATTTTAATAATTTCAATTTTTCTCGTTGTTCACTCAAAATAAAACTTAAATCGGAAATAAACTTATTCCAAGAATTTTGCCTTCATAGATTACAATATAAAAAACACAAAATAAATCGGCGGTCACTTGTCTTACTCCTTTATGAATTATTCAAAGTAATATTTACTTCACTTATGTACAAAAATTTGCCTTTGTACGTGTAACATTGTTTTAACTCATCTGGCTGGTCAAAACCACCTTGAATGGCGTAAGGGTCAATTGACTGACCGTAGCATGACCATTTTCTCAATCACTATCAATTTTTTCGATAGAACGCACATTAGAATCTATTAAATTTGTTTCTGTACCTGTTGTAAAGTAAAAGTCGTCCGATTTCTTCTTTGTTTTCGTCTTGCAAATGAATCATCACTTATATCATTATGAAGTCCATATCCACCATCTGTGAAAAAAGATAATGAATTGTGTAAGTTAACATAACACATTTCAATAAAACATCACAAAACCAGAAAATTTATACTGCTTAAAATGGATTCGACTAAATATGTTAAACGAAAGTAAAAACTAGGTTTGTATTAAATAATTGATACCATTGATACCAATAATTGAAAATAAAATTAATCAAAAAGTCGCAATCAATAACGATGGAATTCTACACTTAAATATCTTAACTCAGTGTGTGCCTCGAAAATATGCTAAGAAATATGGAAATATCGTAAAATATTAGTCCAATGTTCAATAGAGCATGTAGTCACGTATAATGAGACCTTAATAAAATTACTAAAATCTACACACGTTAGTCAAAACCTCGGGTCACTTAACAAAAAATCCAGGAGCACCGAACAAAGAGATTTTAAAAGTAGGTGACTTAGCAGAGCACAAGTTTGTATTTTGATATGAGATGACAACAGAAATGCTACAGCTATGTGCTACACTGATTTTTCAAAAAATATCTCCATTCCTGCTATACAGCTGTTATTCATTAAAGGTTTCCATGATGCTATGATATCATCTAGGGTCAATGATATTCCATTAGAACATGTCCTTCATTTCATTATTCTAATTAATAGATTTAACTCTATTATAAACAATGGGTCCTATTACTCTCTATTTACTTCTCTTTTCATCCAGACGTTTACTCATTGTTTTCAAACAAAGCATTATAATTATAAAATCTCTTGAGAGGTTCCAGTAGTCAGTATTTTCCAGCAAAATAATTAATGGATTTTGTTGAACCTCATGAAAACTTGAACAATTTTGTACACAATTTAATATTCTCTATATGTAAAATCAAATAGGCTATAGCGTTTTAGATTGCCTACTATATATTCAAGTTAAAATAATTACAAATTACATAGTATTCTTTTCTCGTTTCTCAATCACACAAACAAAAAAACGAAACAAATAAATAATCCGATACCATTACAATCACAATTTTATCATTAAATTCAAAATTTACCGCTAATCTATTTTATGCCAAGAAAATTGTCTTGTAAATCGAGACTTTATTGTTCCTTGTCAATTTGTATAATTAATCTGTTTAGTTGTAAGACCAATTAATGTCAGTTTAAGCTTCCCATACTTTAATCTTATTAAGGTTTTTTCCATCACTTTGCATGTCATCGTCATCAGTAAGATTGATAAATGTTATTAAAATCGCTATTCATTAAATCGTGATAAGGGTTTCTTTTCTATAGTGATTTAAAGTGAATGAGACTTTTAGAATGAAAATCATATAGAGGGCCTACAATTAAACAGTCGGAATATATATTTGAAATGCACAGAAACGAATTTTTGTCACCCGAAAAAAATGAACTGCATACTGCCTATTTCTAAATATGATAATGAATATTAATCAATTGTTAACTTTAAAAATGTTATCAGAAGTGGTACTGCCCGTAGATAATAAACAAAGATGTTGGAACTAGTAGATAATAAGGTAATGGTTAAGCGTTAACAAGGATTATTTACTTTTAAGAATCCAATTTTTCCGCAATTAATAATTTTCAATGGTTTCCTCTGGCACATCAACCAAGCTTTCAGAAGAATTTTCTTATATCATATTAAAACCTATAAAAAATAATTTCATAATGGGAACACTAAAACTAATGGAATACAATGGCAGATGTTGTCAAACTCAGATACAAGATAAAAAAAAAACTCAGATGTCGTGGGCATAAAACGATAAAACAACAACTTGAAAAAAAAATCAACTATAGCTTTTTTGCCGCATCTTGCTTTGTTTCTTTTATAATGTCCTTTGGTGTGCCTTGTCAAATGATTTACTTTGTATCTTCTCCTAAAATTTGGAAGTACATAGTCCTATAATTTGGTTAGTTCGGTTTTTTCACTCTCCCGAGTAGCACACGATATAATTTGTATCTTTTACTGTGCCCGTTGATTTTCTTGTTTTTTCTGTTATGGCATTCAATAACTATGTCCTTTGATCTGCGTTGCACCTTCTTTACATTACTATGATTTTCTTATGATGTAGTGCCCTATGTAGGTCGAAGATGAAACTAGCAATATGAATTAATGGAATAAACAACGTTGCAAAAAAAGACATAAAAACTCGTAGCGAATCTGGTTTTACGTTTCTGTCTAGTTAACCGGATAATGATCAATTATAGGCTTGATATTTATTATAAATAGTAGCATCATAGTTAAACTATTATATAAACAATCTTAATATAAGAGACACAGAAACAACCAATAATACCCCAACAATCTGATTGAAACCTTGTTTGATGTCAGCCTAAAAACTGACATATAACTAGTCGAATAAAATATGTATTATTGAAACCGAATTTAACCTTTTATTGAGTCTAATTCTATAACCAGTTCTAACTGTATCAGATAGACCCTGCTTGACACGATATTTTTCGATATGACCTAATGGATGGGAAATTGAATAATATTATAAATATAACATATTTGTATTGTATATAAAAATGAAATATTGTATAACATTGTATAATAGAGCATCTTAAAGGGACAGATGCGGCATTTTGGGGGGTTGATTTTAGTCTTGAATATATTATGTAAATAGTCTAAAGAAGTATTAGACATGTACGAAAATCGAATAATTCCTTAAAATACTTCAAACCAGAAATCTTACTCACGATAGCTATGTATGTCTTTGCTATACATTACAGGGTATCTTAAAATGACGAGTCGTCATTTTATCATTTAAAAGCGGACAATTCTGGACAAACATGGATTTTAACGCTCAAATTTCGACCGTGAGCTGTGGACACTATTACTGATTGGCCTAGCTAAATAAAAATTCCCTTTTCTGGGCCTAAGTATGATTTGTCAAAATAAATGACGCATCTGTCCCTTTAAACGAGAACTTATGTCATATGAAATTTATGATATGAGTTGCCAGATTTAATATTACCCAAGGCTCGGCGAGGCAACACATTACATAAATTTCATACGACTTCAATTAAGCCTTTTTACACCTTCGTACAAAATGTCCTTGAGTGTAACAAAAAAGATTTAGATGTGAATAATAAATTGAAACTTGTAGTCAATGTTATGGTTTTGGAACAATTTCATGCCATTAAAATTCCATTTTAACTGAGTTGTCAACTTTAAAGGACTGCATGTTTTTGTTTACACGGCGCGTGGATACATGACCTAATCTGCATGGGTTATTAACCTGTGCTACGAGTTCATATCGTTTTATGAACCTTTGTTATGAATCTGAGAAAAGTGCTGTTGTGTGATAATGAAACATAAGAACCAAACATGTAATACGCATTAAAATGCCGAAAAAGATTGCCTAAATGAAGAAACTAATTTAGCCTTTAATTCCTCATCTTGGAACTCATCTGATAAATATCTCTATTCATTCTTATGCTGTTCACTTTCTCAAACCTAGTTTGGCCTTGAAAAAACTGGGAACTATTTACTTACATGTAGGATGTGGTTGACAAAACTCCATGGCCAAAGGTCTGGCTGCGGGATGTAAAGATGGTGGACAGTGAAAACAAAACATCTTCAGATTATTCACCTGGAAAATAATCAATAATAAAATTCGATTATAAATCACAAAGACAATGCTTACATTATTCACAAAATATTCGATGAAAAACTAAGTATAACTTCTTTTTTTCAAGAGGTATGAAATATCACAAACTTACTCTTAGGTAGCCTGCTGCCTACCTTTTCAATTGCAAAGTTAAGGATATCATACGATACAAATACGGAACGACATTCTATACTAGTTTCGTAGCCTGTCATAGACTATAAACTAATAAGCTGGTCTCAATAATTGACAGTAAACTCAAAAGTAGATATTGTAGGAAATCCTATGCATTGACTATCAACTGTTAAAAATTCATCTGACATTCAGAGCAAGCCTCCTTTAATCTTACTTTGTCTTTGAACAGTTAAAATCCTTTTTTTTAAAAAAAAACAACATTGGATTGTGCGAAAATAAATTGCAGAAATAATCTGGGTTATTATTTTATATTTGATTAAATCAAAATTTATACACTAATTGACTTAACAGATATCTGTGTCGATTAGAACAATGAGAAATCTATAGAAATAGAACTGAAGGTCGCTTTCAACAGAGACGCTTTATCACCCAGAATCAGTCAAGCCTTTTCATCTTTTTTCTCGCTTCGTGATTTATTAATTATTTTATTTCGAGTTGATGACTTTACTAATGTGGATAAGAGAACATTTATCCAGCAATAATATCAAATATTTAATATTTAATAAGGACACACTTTAATTTCACGCGTTAATCTCGTCATTACTGACGTTTCCACACATTACCCATAATGCTATAGTGTTAACGTCTGCTCTCTATTTCCGCTTGATAAAACAAATTTGATAAACGCGGGAAATCAGTAGTTAATTGAATTTGACGACCATTAGGTCTAACATTGTATAGCGCGAATCACAAGTCGAACACAATTATTGGTGTTAATTGGAGAGGTGTGAAGAGGCCTTTATGAAAACCACTAGTCGAATAATTCTTGTCTTGTATGGTGTAATTGAGGTTTGATGACACTATAGGAAATCAAGGAAACGACATCAACTTAGTTTGTCTACTGGATAATAGAGTCTTTCACTGGAATTGGATAGACTCGTTTACACCAGTAATCGATCAGATCATCATTGAGTCATTTGCATGTGATTAGGCTAATTAAGTGGAATTTCCCTTCAAACAAGACTTGCTCTTGGAATTTTATTAGTGGGGACAAGAAAACTTGATTTTGCGGTTCTCCATTAAACGATTGATGTGGTGCCATTGTTGAATGCAGATAACCACCCTGCAAACCTTTTGAAGAAATTGCTTAAACCCTGGAAACTGGTATCGATTGGTTGATAAAAAAATAATCGGTTAGCAAATATCACAGGACTGTTAAGATATATTTTCCATATATAGAGC